GGCCCCACTTTCTAGGTTGAGTGCAGTCAATGCTAAAATTAGCCATCACATAATCCTTTAGAATTCTTAGTGTCATGCCTGATAGCATGGTAAATGTTAAATTCATGTTAGATCGTTGCCATTACCTTGTGGTTGTCAACCACAGCTCAAGACAGGCTCCAAGGATTCAGAGGGAGAAAGCTAGTTGTAACATAGCTGAAATTAGAAAATCTCTAGGAGCCAAACCGACCCTAAATGTATGGATTTTGGGGAACAGTGGCTGAAGTGAGTGACTGTAAACTGTAAATTCTGGAATCAAAGTTTAAAGATTTATTTATTTTCACCAGAAAGGCAGAGTTGCAGAGAGAAAGAAGAGACAGAGAGAAATATCTTCTGTCTGCTGGTTTATCCCCTAAATGGCTGGAGCTGAACCAATCTGAAACCAGGAGCTTCTTCTGGGTCTCCCACACAGGTGCAAGATCCCACGGCTTTGGGCCGTCCTCAACTGCTTTCCCAGGCCACAAGCAGGAGCTGGATGGAAAGTGAAGCAGCCAGGATTTGGATCGGCGCCCATATGGGATCTCAGCCCTTGAAGGTGGAGGATTTAGCGAATTGAACCATTGCACCAGCTCCTCAGTTCATCGATACAGGTGTCTGTTGTTTGCAGGGAAAGAATTAACCAATTGAGCCATAGTGTCGGACCCTGGAATGAAAGTTTAAATCTCCACTTTGGCTTTTGAAAATTCAGGTATAGTAAATTATCTTCTAGGAAAGTGTCCATGAGGCTATGCAGGCCAGAACTTCAACAGTGACACCACGTGGCAGCCGGGATTAACTGCAACGGAACCCTAAACCCACTTCGGGGTTCTGTTTACAACTTCCCCAACCAAATGGAGCAGCAGAGGAGGAGGAGTGGGTACCTGAGGCTAGGATGCAGATCAGCTGGATCTGGACTGGCTGACACACAGACGTTGATTCATCCCAGAGTAAGACTGCCTGGCAGGCAGCGGGGGGAGGGGCCCTAACTGTGTTGTCTTAGTGCATGGCTTTCCGTCTTAGCTGGGAGACACACGCCGGTGGATTACATGAAGATTGTTAGTTATGTTATGCAGATAGCAATGAAGTCGAGTAAATTAAATGCAAGCAACTTGGAAGTTTATGTAATAGCCTTGATTCTAGTAATGTGACGATATAGACAGAAACCCCTTGATTATTTAAGGAAAATCTCACATCAGCACATTGCTAGGTAAAATCTCCACTGGTTTCTCTATAGTACATAAGACTACTTACAGTGTACCGAAAAACTGATCCGAATCATTCCTGCTTCCTGCACCTGTGCATTCTGCAGAGTCTTTTCCTTAAGAAATAGAACTTTCTCTTTCAATGTGAACTGTTCTGGGGCCTTGGCCAACAGAGAGGCAGCAGTGAAGTGCTATTGCTTCCAGTTTCCCTCAAGGAGGGTTTATCTGCCTCTGCTCACTTGCTTGGACATCAGCAACCCTCCTGAGTATCAGATCTGACCAGTCTCTTGGAAAAGAAAACCAAATGGAACAGAAAAACCAAATGGAACAGTCGATTCATTTCATCCAAGACCAAGGTACGTGAGAGAACCAGTGCAGGCTCAGCGATGTTAAGCCTTGTCCGAACTTCCAGCCAGCCCCCAGTGACTGCAGCAGGCACTGCACCATGGCCACTCCTGACCAGCCAGGCCCACATGATGGAACATTTATTACTTTAAACAAACACTTAAGAAAGCAAAGGACCTGGGGTTGTGGTGCAGTGGGGGGAAGCCACCATCCTATGCAGAAGCATCCTATACTGGCTGCTACAGTTCCCATTAGCTTCCTGCTCATGTGCCTGGGAAAGCAGCGAAGATGGTCCAAGTAGCAGTGCCTCTGCTGCTCCTGTGTAAGACCAGGATGAAGTTCCAGGTTCCTGGTTTTAGTCTGGCCCATCCCCAGTCATTGTGGCCACTTTGGAAGTGAATCAGTGGTTGGAAGATCTCTCTCACTCCTCTCTCTCTGTAACTCTGCTTTACAAATGATAAATGAATTAAAAAATTTAATCTTTTTTTTAAAAAACTGAAGAGCATCACAGAAGAAAATACTCAAATTTCTTCACTTCCAGATGTTGTATGGTTGTAGAGAAGTAAGAATTTTATTTTCTCCTTACCTTGATATTGACCCAGGCCTCCAATCATTCATTCAGTGGATTTTAAAACATTTGTTTGTTTGAAAGGAATAGTTACAGAGAGAGAGGGCCAGGCTTGGAGGGGGCACAGGGAAGTCATAGATATGATTTGCGGTCTAGTTTGGGTAGAAAAGAAGCACTGTCAAGTCACCCACTCTGAATTTCAGGCAGCGTGGATGCCATGTGAGGTATGTGACCTCTGGATGGTACCCAACGTCTCTGAGTTTGTACTTACCTGTTTCATCATCAGGGACAATGTTACCCGGCTTTCAGCACGGTTGAGAGGGCCAAACTGGCTGGCCAGGCACAGTGCCCACTATGGGTCAGGGTCACTTTCCACTTCCTGACCTGCTGCCATGCAGCTTGGCTCTGAGCATCATCTCCTTCAGGTCAGGACTTCCTGCACAGAGCGGGCAAGGCTCCTGCATGTGGCCTCAGAGCTGCCAATTCCAAGTCCGATGCCTCTTGCTTGCTTCTCAACCTTGGCTGAGAGAGGAGCTGCAGGGACAGCCTCCGGCCTGCAATGGGCACCTTGAAGCAGTGCACAGCAGGGGCGGGGGCAGCCGGGCAGAGTGGGTGAGTCAGGAGCAGGCAGTGGTAGGCAAGGGCTAAGCTGTGAATACCCCACAGCGTGTGCTTCTTCCTCCCTCGGGACCTTGATTTCAACCACAAGGTGCATGAAGCAGGGACCAAAGTGTAGAGCCTTTGGTAATCAAAATTCCTCAGGTGCCTGCTGTGTCGTGGCTTACTGGAGGCATGCACCCCCTCATGGCCTGCACACAGCTGGAGCCACGGAGAAGGGGATCAGCCCACCTGGCCCGCAGTGAAGAGGAACAGGCCAGAGCAAGCCTGGCTGCATTGTCTAACTCTACTACGCCTCCTCTGTGTCTCAGCTTCTCCTCCTGGGACACTCTGAGAGGAATGGGGAAGCTGGAGTTGTGCAGGTAGCAGAAGTTTCTGGATTGCAGAGTAGCAGTGGTGGTGTCATTGATCCAGTGGCTTTGATGGCCTCACAAAAGACACACCCTATAGAAACCTTTCGGGCAGCACTAGCTGGACTTGAGCCGAGACTCCCTTTGAAAGCCAAATCTTGATCACATGAGGAAGGGACTGGATGAGTGTGTGCGACTGATGGCTGCTGCATCGCCATGAGTGGCCACGGGAGGTACACACACAGACCTCTGAGCTGTTTGGGACTTGGGGAGGCTCAGGGACCACCAGGCTGCAGGTCCAGAAAAGAGAAGCTAAACACTGAACTCTAGAAACCTCAGTGGGCATGTTTATGTTGACAATGCTGGGACAAGCAGAGAAGGGAGACAGGTGGGGGAGACAGACAGTGGAGGGAAAAGAGACATAAAGATGGAAGAGAGACAAAGGGATGGAAGGGAAGGAGAGAGGACACTAGCCCCTAGGCTACCGCACTCGGCCCAAGAAACACCTTTAAAAAGACTTATTAATTGGGCCCGGCGCGATGGCGCAGTGGTTAAGGTCCACACCTTGCACGCCCAGGATCCCATATGGGTGCCGGTTCTAATCCCAGCAGCTCCACTTCCCATCCAGCTCCCTCCCTGTGGCCCGGGAAAGCAGTCAAGGACGGCCCAAAGCTTTGGGACCCTGCACCCTCGTGGGAGACCCGGAAGAGGCTCCTGGCTTTGGATTGGGCCGTTGTGCTCACTTGGGGAGTGAATCATCGGGTGGAAGATCTTCCTCTCTGTCTCTCCTCTTTGTATATCCGCCTTTCCAATAAAAATAAAATAAATCTTAAAAAAAAGACTTATTTATTTTATTGGAAAGGCAGAGAAGGAGAGGAGAAATAAAGAGAAAGATCTTCCATCTACCGGTTCATTCTTTAAATAGCCACAATGGCCAGAGCTGAGCTGATCTGAAGCCAAGAGTCCGCAACTTTTTCTGCATCTCCCATGTGGGTGCTTGGTCCCAAGGCTTCAGGACATCCTCCACTGCTTTCCCAGGCCACAAGCAGGAAGATGGAGGGAAGTGGAGCAGCTGGGACACGAATCAGCACCCCTATGGGATGCTGGTGCTTGTAGGTGGAGGATTGGCCTGATGAGTTGCTCCCATCCAAGCAGCATCCTAACCACTGCCCCAAGCACCTGTCCCTACAGGCATGATTTTCTGGAGGCAGGGCAGAGACACACAAGCTCATGGCTATGTGCATAGCCATTGAGTCACAAGATGAGTTTTCAGATCCCAGCTGCTCTGCCAACTCTTTCAGCTGAGTGACTTTGGGCAATATGTGGCTTCCCCGAGTCTACCTGACAACTGTTGTGAGGACTAAATGTCTGCAGAGCTCTGAGCAGATTGCCCGTATAAGTCCCAAACTATGTCACCCACTGTCATTTTTGCAAACAAGACAGGGCCTATGATATAGGTCCCCGGTCACCGGAACCTGAGGTTTGGCCATGTGACATGCTTTGCCTTATGGGAAATTGGTAAACTTGATGCAAGAAGAGGTATGGAACACAGGCTGCCCATTTCTGATGTCTATCCTGGAACCTTGACATTGTGGGAAGGATGTGGATGATGTGTGGAGTTAAGCCACATATCCCAAAGAAAGTCACTGAAGACTAGTTATCTCCCAATCAACCAACCCACCATGTCACCCAGGTGAGTCAGCCCAGGGAAGCCCAGCCCAGTCCAGGTCCCATCAGCAAGACCATTCAGCCAACCCTGACTTTTACACGAAATAATCAGTGGTTGCTGTGCCAAGCCGCTGCATTTAGAGTGACTTATTGCACAGCATCAATTGGCTAATGCCCCCATGGCTCTGGAATTGAAACAGCCCACATCCAAAGGCCAAGCAGAGAAGAAGCCATGGTCTGCCAGTTTTTTATTTGTCGAGCATGGTCAACTTGAACCAGAGAAAGCTGCAAAAAGTGGTTTGGAGAGCATGACAAAGGCATAAGGAGGGGCTGATGGGAGCAGGTGCCTCTGTCAGGTGCTGAGGGAGCCCTCGGGATGGGAGGTACCTGGGAAGCTAGGTCCAGACGGGTGGCAGCAGGACTGTACCTCCAGTGCTGCGGCTCAGGCAGGAAGGCTCGTCCTCACCTGGCCCCTTGCAGGTGTCAGTTTCTGGGGTCATATACTCGCCCCATGAAGACAGGGAACTTGTGCTGCTGGTCCCAGAGCAGGAAGAGGAAGGGCTGATGCACCTCGAACGTGAGCAGAGTGCGGGCCACAGCGACGGCCGAGGCGGCAGCCACCTCCACGCCCGTCTCGGTCAGCTCCAGCACAGTCTGGTGCTGCATGGTAGACACCTGAAGGTCCAAGTCGTCTGTCATCTTGCACAGGTTGAGGTCGTAGCTGAAGTCAAAGAAGTCTAGGGCGAGAGTGGGGAAAAACAAATGCAGAGATGAGCAAACCCTCAGGGATGGAAACTTTTACCCTTACTTTTCTGGGTTGCCCCTGCTGGGAGCCCCAATATTCTCTTTTCCCCTTTCTATTGCTTGTTGGATCCTAACTCGTGCCTTCTGGCCCAATTCTGGGTATTGTCTACCAGCTGGACCGAACAACCACTCCTTACCTCCCACCCCAAACTGAAAAGAGATGTCCTTGCTTGCTTGCCTCTAGGGACCTTGAGAGACAGGTAGCATATCAGAGACAGGTCGTATGTCATGCATAACGCTGTGATACTGTGAAACAGTATGCAATAAATGCAGGGTGTTTCAAAATGTACACGGAAAATGAACGTTTTGAAAACAACACACGTATGCATGGATTTCACATTTTTTTTTTGCACCAAATCAACTTTAACATTGTTTTTTATTAATTTTATTTTTTCCAAGTTTTATTTATTTAAAAGACAGACAGAGAGAGAGAGAGAGAGAGAAAGAAGAACAGTCTCTTCCATCTGCTGGTTCGTTACTTGAATGCCTGAAACAGCCAGGGATGGGCCCACACTGAAGCCAAAACGTCGAGCAGGTGTCCCACGTGGGTGGCAGGGACCCTCGCACTTGAACCTACAGCTGGTGCCTCCCAGGGTGTGCATTAGCAGGAAGCCGGATCAGAAGCAAAGGCAGAGAGCCCAGGTACACTGATGTGCAATGTGGATATTCAAAGCAGTAGCTTAACGGTTGTGCTACAACACCCACACCTCAACTTAGAGAGAGACAGAAAGCTCTTCCACCTGCAGGTTCATTCCCCACATGGCTTCAGCAGCCAGCACTGGGCCAGGCTGAGGCTGAGAGCCAGAAGCTTCTTCTAGGTCCCACCTGTGGGTGCAGGCCGTAGCACCTGGGTCATCTTCCGCTACTTCCCAGCTGCATTCATGAGGAGCTGAACAGGAAGTGAAGCAGCAGGAACTTAAACTACACTGATATGGGATGCTAGCAATGCTACATGCCAGCTGCTTCAAAAACTTGAAAAGCAACTTTGTGTATGCTGGACTCTGTCCCTAATTCCTCGCACAGAGCTATGAAAACCCTTGTCACCTCTGCCTTTCCAGATGGGGCTCCCTGCGCCCCATCTTCTGGTTGCTCCCCCTCCATCCCTGTAGCCTTCACCGTGTCCTCCATCAGGTAATCAGTCGGTGAGTTCCCCTGCATTTTGTTAGCCATTCTAGCAAAGAACGAAACCTAGAAGGGACTGGGAAAACCTCTGATTTATAAAGGATCAGACGGAAGCACAAGGGGCAACCATTTTATGAGTGCTGGCTGAAGGGGGCTCAGTCTCATGGGGCTGAGCCCCTAACGTGGGAGATAATGCTGTCTGCAGGCAGATGTGTCAGACCTAAATCCAACTGTAGGTCATCAGCTTGTGTCTGCAGAGAATCAGCAAACCACCTGGGACTGGGAACATGCCCCTAGCACAACTGGTAGTGCTGTGTTCTGGGAAGGCAAGGTGTCTTCCCTATGCAGATGCAATGTACCCTAAAATGAGATTAAGTGTTGAGCGGCTTAGATCTGTAACAGGAAATGAACTGGCAAGACCTAGACAGGAACCCGAAGGACCTGCAGCTTCTGCATTGCTCCCAAACACCAGACCCTTCCATCCACATGGCTTCTTGCGTATCCCACAGGGCGGCTGTCTGTTACCAATGTCTTTGGGAGGAGGGTACTGACAGCTCACCTCATCATCTGTTCCCATGTCTATGGGGACACCAGCTTAGATGACACTGCAGCCCTGGCCCCGAGTGCTGAGTAGCCTCTAACTAGCTCTGGGGTAAGTCACAGCAGTTTTGGGTAAATTGTAGAAAATGTCTGAGCCTATTTTCTTGCTGATGTGATGGGATACTAGCAGTTACCTCTTATCTCACAGGCTTGAAGGGCAACCTGAGATTGCGGCGGGAGAATTGGTCTAGAATGTTATCCCCGTGTGAGGGACCCCTCCCGGGAGCAGCTTTAGCCACCAGGGCTCACCCAGCTTCTCCAAGATGGACAGCATGTCCTGGCTGCTTTTCACTTTGATCTTTGGCATTGTTAGGTAAGTCGGCTGAAACTTGGACGACTCCAGCTTCGTCATGACAGCCCTGAAGACGGCAGGGCTGAGCGCCCGCTCCACATCCTCCAGGCTGTGTTTCAGGCTCTGGGGCACGAAGATCACAAAGCTGAGGTTGTGGGAGAGCTGCAGCTGGCCCACCTGGAGGGACGAGAGATGCTGTGTCAGTCTGGCCACTCATACTTACCCAGCTCTTTCCTGGCCTCCCATTGTTGATGTCCCAACACCGTTCTCAGCCTGCAACAGCCAGACCTGGGTGTCCCGGCTTTGCTATGGGATGAAGGTGCCAACGGGTCTAACTGAGCAGTGCCGGTCCATCTCTGCTGGTACAAGGGAGAGGAGTGGGCTCAAATGTCCGCTCACATCTCCATGGATCCTCTGACCGACTCGGTCACACAGGCAGCTGGTCGGAGCTCTGAGCTTGCGCCCTCTCTCCCGCATGGGTTGCATCTAAAGTCTGCAACACTTCATTTTTGGTTTGTAAGTATGCTTTATGTACTGATGTGGCCAAGTAGAATGGTAATACTGGCAAATCTAAAAAGAGCATCAGGGGGCTGGCACTGTGGTGTAGTGGCAGAAGCTGCTTCCCAGGCTGCCCCATTTCTGATGCAGCTCTCTGCTAATGAACCTGGGAAAGGAGCAGAAGATGGCTCAAGTGCTTGGGCCCCTGCACCTATGTGGGAGAAGCAGAAAAAGCTCCTGGTTCCTGGCTTTGGGCCAGTCCAACTTCTGGCCTTTGTGGCCATTTGGGATGTGAACCAACGGATGGAAGATCTCTGACGCTCCCTCTCTCTCATTCTGCCTTTCAAATAAATAAGTACATCTTAAATTGTAATAATAAAAGAATATCAAAGGGGCTGGCATTGTAGTGTGGCACATTAAGTGACCACTTCTGACAATGGCATCCCATATCTAAGTGCCAGTTCAAATCCCAGCTACACTACTTTATTATTATTATTATTATTTTTAAAGACTTACTTATTTAGTTATTTGAAAGCCAGAGTTACAGAAAGAGAGAGAAGAGAGGTCTCTCATCCATTGGTCTAATTCCCAGATAAACACAAGGGCTGTGACTAGACCAGGCCAAAGCAAGGAATATTTTCTGGATCTGTCATGTGGGTAGCTAAGACCCAAACGTTTGGGTCATCTTCTGTTGCTTTTCCCAGGCCATGCAGGGAGCTAGACTGGAAGTGGAATGGCCATGACATGAACGGGCTCTCACACGGGATGCTGGTGTTGCAGGCAGCAGCTTTACCCGCAGTGCCACCATGCTAATCTGTCAGCTGTTCTATTCCACTCCTGATCCAGCTTCCTGCTAACATGCCTTGGAAGGCAGAAGTGGATAGTTCAAGCATCTAGGCCCCTACCACCGAAATGGGAGACCAGATGGATGCATGGGTAAGTGCAGGGATGGATAAAGGAATGAGTATAGAGCAGCTAAAGTAACTTTATTTTAAACATGTTATCTATTTATTTATTTATTATTTTTTTTTTGAGAGGCATAGAAAGAAAGCAAAGAAATCTGTCCAGGCCCGGCGCAGTAGCATGCACCGGGATCCCATATGGGCACCGGTTCTAATCCTGGTTGCTTCACTTCCCATCCAGCTCCCTGCTTCTGGCCTAGGAGAGCAGTTAAGAATGGCCCAAAGCCTTGGGATCCTGTGCCCATGTGGGAGACCTGGAAGAAGCTCCTGGCTCCTGGCTTCGGATCAGTCGTTGCGGCCACTTGGGGAGTGGACCAGTGGACAGATCTTTCTGTCTCTCCTCCTCTCTGTATATCTGCCTTTCCAATAAAAATAAATAAATCTTAAAAAAAAAATAAATCTCTTGTCCACTGATCCACTATCTAAATGCCTATGACAGGCAAGGGGGTAAAGCACAGAGCTGGTAACCAGGGACTCACTCCAGGTCTGCTATGAAAGTGGCACGAACTCCCAGGAGCCTCCACAGTGTGCACTGGCAGAAGTCAGAATAGGGGGCAGAGTTAGGACTCAAACCCAGACCCCCAAGGTCTCTGCAAATTTTCCTGGAAAAGTAGTAGAAGATGTTCCAGGTGCTTGGTCCCTTCTTAGAACATATGGTAGATCAGGAAGAAGCTCCTAGCTCCTGGTTTGAGCTCTGGCTTTTATGGCTATTTGCGGAATGAAATAGCAGGTGGAGGATCCCTCTCTCTGTCTTTTTCTCTTTGTAATTCTGCCTTTCAAATAAATAAATATATGTTAAAAAAAATGTACAACGCCTGCCCTGGCCAAGGTTGCAGGGAAGAAGAGAAAAGATAGGGTGGAAACACTGTTGGAAGGAGTGGAAATGATGAACTTTGAAAGAAGTACCCCAAAGGACGGGACAGTGGCAGGAAAACACCCGGACGTGAGGCGAACGAAGGTTCAGGACTCACCATGGCTTTCAAAGTGGAGTCGGGGAAATGGGCCATGGGATACTTGCTGCTAGTCAGCATGGGCACTTTGATCACGGAGTTTCTGAGGTGAAAGGCCTCCATCTTCCTTTTATTATCAAAGGGTTTCTTCCACTTGGCTGGAAGGAAGAGAGGTTGCTCTAATGCAAGTCGGCAAAGGATGGAGAGGAGCTGAAAGTCCTGTTAGCAAGGTGGGGGTGGTGCCTGGGGATCCGGCCGTGGACCACGGGAACAGGTCACCCAGAGGAGGAGGACGCAGGACCCGGTGAAGAATGATGACCTGGCGAGAAGGGCTCCCTTACCGTTCAGGTAGACGGCATTGAGAAGGACGAGGCGCGTGTCCAGGGGCAGGCTGTCCAGCAGCTGCCTGATCTTGTGGTTGGTGTTCTCAGCCACCCAGGTGTTGATGAGCTCCAGGTTGGCGTCGCTGTCATTCCCCAGGACCCTGGGGGTACTGCCGTACAGGCTGTGAGAGGCGTTCACAAAGCTGTCCTTTATGGCCAGGTCTGGGGGCGGGGGTGGGTTAAGAGAGGGAGGTATGAGTGCCCTCAACCAACCCCCCACCCCTTCTCAGAGCAAGCTTCGAGAGCAGGCATTGCTCCAGGGCTCCTTCTGCTTATTCCAGGGAACACAGAATACTGGAGCAGATGTTCAGCCCGCTCCTCTTCTCTAAGGGATAAGCTCATGGCAAAATGGAATTGAAACAAGTTCAGAGCTGGTGTTGCGGCAGAGCATGTTAAGTTGCTGCCCACACACCAGCATCCTATGTGAACAATGTTCCAATCCCAGAAACTCCTCTTCTGATCCAGCTGCTTGCTAAGGGCCTAGAAAAGCAGTGGAACATGACCCAAGTTCTTGGGTCCCTGCACCCACATGGGAGACCCGGATGGAATTCCAGGCTCCTGGCTTTGGCCTATTGCAGCCCTGGCTGTCCCAAGCATTTGGAGAATGAACCGAAGGATAGAAGACCTCTCCCTTTTTCTCACTAACTCTGCCTTTCAAATACATTTTCTGAAAGTTGGAACCAGTTGTCTTTTCCGACCTAAAAGTTAATGAGACAAAAGACATAACTGATTTACACAAGTAAGTGCAATATCTTTTGACATGTCTGAGCCATATTTTGAAAGAGGATGTTCTGACAGCTGAATTTCCTTTTTTCTTTGCTTTTCTGTGTTTTCTCAGTTTTCTAGAATGAATGAGTATCGCTTTTATAGCTAAAAAAGAAAAAAGGTTTTATTTATTTTTTTCAAATAGGAGGGATTGGATCAGATGCATTGATTTACTTATGTTAAAGACTTATTTTATTTCATTTTTTTAAGATTTATTTTTAGGGCCCAGTATAATGCTTCAATTGGCTGGTCTTCTTGCAAATGCCAGGGTCCCACATAGGTTCTGGTTTGTGCCCCAGCTGCTCCAATTCCCATCCAGCTCCCTGCTTGTGGCCTGGGAAAGCAGTTGAGGACGGCCTAAAGCCTTGGGACCCTGCACCCGCGTGGGAGACCTGGAGGAAGCTCCTGGTTTCGGATCGGTTTAGCTCCGGCTGTTGTGACTGTTGGCAGGGTGAACCAGTGGGCAGGTCTGTAGGCAGTGTCTCCTCCTGGCCGCTCACCTGGACTGTGGAAGATCTGAGAGATGGAGGTGAAGCCTTTGGAAGTGAAGTCCTTCAGGGCCTGGTGGACACAGGTGAAATTCTCGGGGTAGGAAAGCATGTCCTCTAGGTTTTGCTTGGTGCTGCCCTCGGCCCCTGAGACAAAAGGCGGAGATGAGCTACCCTCACGGAAGAGGGAGACCCCCCCGCCCCGCATTTGGAACAAGGGTTGAAGGACCAGGCTGGCAGGTGGGGGTGGGGTTGTTCCCGCTAGGCAAGGGATCTAAGACAATTGCAACAAAAAACATAGGTCTGAAGGATAGGGACAAGGAGTTAGGACGAGCCGGTTAGGATCTCCAGGGGTTCTGAGTACTGTCTCCCTGTTTCCCCAAGACCGGACATTGCACTCCTCTTGCAGAGCCGGTTCTAACCATGACCTGGCCTGCATCAATGATTACTTGGGTGGTTTGGGTTCACAGTTTCACTCTAAAGAGGCAGAGACAGTAGAAGACTGTGGAGAGGTGAAACCAAGATATTCTACGGGAACGTCTTTCGCTCTGCAGTCACTCCTTCACCGTGACACACTCACTGTCCAGGTCTCGTGTGCAAACACAGCTGAAACTGACAGAGCACTGACTCGGTGCCGAGCACTTTCCATGCTTCTCTGCTCAACACCACGACCCTTTTTTATATCAGGACAATTGCTTTATCCATTATACAGATGTGGAGACTGAGGCTTAAGACATCGACTCCGTGGAAAGGCTCAGGGCGAACAAGGGAAAGACGCAGGCAAGATCTGAGCTAGCTGTTGGGCAATAAACTGACTACAATGGGCAGACTGGCACGTGCCTCCCAGGGAATGTCTGGAGAGGAGGTGGTCGTCCTGCCTGGGCAGCAGGACCCTATGGGTGTTGTTGGCATCCAGTGGGACTCTGTATTGTCCTGAGCAGCCTTCCTGGAGTTCCTCCCCTGGGAGTTCATTCTCTCTCCCCACCGGCTGTAGTAATGTGTGTCATTACCAGGCTAAGTACCCATGCCACTTGACAGTAATCCCTCATGGAGGCAGAGGATTAGCACGTTTTCGACTTCCCAGAGAGTCAGCATTAGACTGCCTGCTTCTTAGTGTCTGTAAGTACGTGGCACCGGCTCTATTTTACACACAAGGACTCATGCTCGGGAGGTTAAGTGACCTGCCCCACATCAGGCAGCAGTGTCACCACAACGCTGCTCCAGGTCAAGATGGCTTGATCTCCCGATCGCCTTGCCGTGAGCCATGGTCGGTGGCTAGCACCTGATTTCACACATTCTTGTTGAGGCCACAGACTCAATGAGCATCATGCCTATGGGATCATTGTTAAAGGAAGAGTTGTTTGAGAACAAAAAGATATATTACCAAGCTCTCTTCTCTGCCCCCTGCCTCTGTTGCCATGGAGTTCATTTTGGGAGCTTCCTCCTAGAAGCACAGCTTTGGAGATGGTTTCTGGGTTGGTGACAATCATGGGGCGGGGGCCTCAATACGACCTGGAGAGAATTCCGTCAGGGTCTTACCAAGCAGGACCTGGGTGAGGAGGCTGGCAATGCTGAACGGGGAGAAGGCCACGTTGGTTTCAGCCTTTTTCAGGGCTGAGAAGCCTTGGTAGAGCTTCAGGGAGAAGTCCACCAGAGCATTCCCCAACACAGCTGCCGCATGGTGTCTCTGCACAGCGGAGCAGGAAGTGTCGGGCTCCGGGCAGTAGGGCCCAGCAGTGGGCTGGGTAGGAAAATCCGTGGGCAGCTGGGTAGTTGGTTGGGTGTGTTGGCTGAAGGGCTGGGTACTTGGTTCGTCGGTGGGTCGTTCATTGGCTGAGCTGCTTGTTGGCAAAGCGGAAGTCTCCCCGTTGGGCTGAGTGGGTGTCCACATGGAGGTGTCTGGCTCCCAGATGTTCACATTATTTTCCCCTTGCAAATCAGCTGGATCTCCGGAACTGGGGCTGACAGCATCAGGATCTGAGAAGGCTCTATCCTGCGGGCCAAGAAACTGAGCTTTATTTTTCTTATTGAGGTACTGTCCTCTTCAACACTCAAAGCAAAAAGAGAAAGCAGGGATACAGAGAATATGATGAGGAAGACAGCAAATTTCAGGATAGCCTGGTGGGCGAAGGGCCAGTTCTGAGACCATTACCACAACTTCCTCAGAGTGAGCAATGTAATGCTATGTGTATTTGTATGTAGGGGAATAGAGAGGGGCATTCTTTGCAGATAACAAGGGGTGGTCAACTGTTCTGTAATCAGGCCTTCTGCAATGCCAGCATCCCACAGGAGGGCCATTTTAAGTCCTGGCTGTTCCACTTCCTACCAGGCTCCCTGCTAACATGCCTGAGAAAAACAGCAGACCAGGGCCCCTGTCCTTGGGCCCCCGTTACCTGTGTGAGAACTTTGTGTGGAGTTCTAGGTTCCTGGCTTTGGCCTGGCCCAGCCCCAGACACTGCAGCTGTTTGGGGAGTGAACTACCAGATGTGACAACCTTTTTTCCTTTTCTCTGTGTAACTCTGCACTTCAAATAAAAATATCAATCTTCTTTAAATAAAAAAAAAAAAAAAGAACTCTGGAGGCTGGTATTGTGGCGTAAGAGGTTAAGCCACCTGCAATGCCAGAAGCCCATATGGGCACCAGCTCATGTCCCATCTGCTCCACCTCCAACAGAGCTCCCTGCTAACGGCCTGGGAAAAGCAGTAGAGGATGGCTACCTGTCCACGCTCCTGCCACGCAGGACGGAGAACCTTCTGGCTTCCATCTGTCACAGCACTGACTGTTGCAGCTGTGAAAGAAGGGACTCAGCAGATGGGAGCTCTCTCCCCATCTCTCTAACCGTGCTTTTCAAAAGATATAGTATTAGTCCCAGCACGGTAGCCTAGCGGTTAAAGTCCTCGTTCTTGTACATGTAGGATCCCCCATAAGGGCACCAGTTCCTGTCCCAGAAGCCCCACTTCCCATCTAGCTCCCTGCTTGTGGCCTGGGAAAGCAGTCGAGGATGGACCAAGTCCTTGGGACCCTGCACTCGCAAGGGAGACCCAGAAGAAGCTCCTGACTTCTGGCATCAGATTTGCTCAGCTCTGGCCTTCACAGTCACTTGGGGAGTGAATCAGTGGGTAGAATAGTTTCGTCTCTGTCTCTCCTCTCTCTATATCTGAATTTCCAAAATAAATCTTTAAATAAATACATATTGGGAACGGTGCAGTAGCCTAGCGGCTTAAGTCCCTGCTTTGCAAGTGTTAGGACCCCATGTGGAGGTTGGTTCTAATCCTGGCAGCCCCACTTCCCATCCAGCTCCCTGCTTGTGGCCTGGGAAAGCAGTCGAGGATGACCCAGAGCATTGGGACCCTGTGCCCATGTGGGAGACCTGGAAGAGGCTCCTGGCTCCTGGCTTTGGATTGGCGCAGCACTGGCCACCATGGTCACTTGGGGAGTGAATTGTCAGACAGAAGATCTTCCTTTCTGTCTCTCCTTCTCTCTGTTTCTAACTTTCAATTAAAAATAAATCTTAGAGATAAATAAATAAATACTATCTTTCAAAGTTCTGGTTGCAACCGCATTCGTGGGTATCATAAATAACCAGGGACCAGCTTGGCACTGTGGCACAACAGGCTCCACCCTGTGGCCTGAGCATCCTCTATGGGCTCCCGTTCTAATCCCGTTCTAATCCCGGCTGCTCCACTTCCCATCCAGCTCCCTGCTTGTGGCCTGAGAAAGCAGTCAAGGACCGGCCAAAGCCTTGAGACCCTGCACCCGCGCGGGAGACCTGGAAGAGGCTCCTGGCTCCTGGGGTCAGATCGGGTCAAACTGTAGCAGGGAGCTGAATGGGAAGTGGAGCCGCAGCCAAGACATGCCCATATTGGATCCTGGCGCATGCAAGGCAAGGATTAGCTGCTAGGCTATGGCACCTTGTCCCTGGGCTTGCTTCCCCATTGCAACTGACCCCTGCCCAGGCTTTGGAATGCTCACTACCATTCCTAACTGACCTGCCCCACTCTCCCAGACCCTGACAACCTCAAACTCCACTCAATGCAGCTCGGTTTCCTTGCTGTGAGCGCTCAACTAGTTTCCTGATCCTCTATGAATCCGCTGCCAAGCGGGCATTGGCCAGGGTGCGGTCTCTGATCCATTTTTTATAATCCAGGAGGCTTAGAGAAGTGACTTGCTCAAGACCACAAGGCCGAGATTAGAACTCGCAACCCCGTAGGAGCTCGGAGCCTCCTTTCCGGACAAGGATCACACTCGAGCTCCCCCTTCCGCGGGGCCTGATGGGTTAATCCCGGCGCCCCGCCTCTCCTTGCCCGCCGAGGGGCCACTTACCCCAGCCAGCAGCAGCAGCAGGAGGGTCAGCGGGGTCAGCCGGGAGGCCATCTGGGCTGCGACGTCAGCCGCGACCTGCAGAGCCACCCGCGTCAAGCCAGCCGCAGCCTGCAGCCCGGGGGCCTCCTGCCCACCCCTGGCCCGCCCCCGGGGCCGCTCCCCACGAATTCCCGCCTCCTCCCCGCGGGGGTCACCTCCTCCCCGGCTCCTCCCTCGGTTTTGTTTTCCCCAAACTGCTTTCTCTTCCCGGCACCGGCTGGCCCTTCCCCTCCACCCCCATCCCCGGGTCTCGGTCCATCTGTTTCAGGCTAGGGGGTCCTGCTTTCGCCCAAACAAAGAGGTCGGAGGTAGAGGGAGGGGAGGCCCGAGGGGGCTGGGCAGCACCGCCCTGAGGGAAGGGGAGAGGGCGAGAAGGAGGCAGAAGTCAGCTGGAGGAAAGGGAGAGAGGGGACCCCCTGCCCGGATCTCTAGCTTGTGTGTCCCACACCGGGCACCCCACCGCACCAAACCTGCTCCCGACTCCTGGTCACGGGGCAGCTTCGTGGACACTGAGAGTCCCACAGGGTCAGAGAGGGTGGGGTGGGGTGGGGGCAGCCTTAGCCATTGGCTGGCCCAGGACACTGCCCGGTTACAAATTAAGGAGGATCGACCCATGATTTCCCGTAAATGAGCATGGACCCGATCGCTCGGTCCCGCTGCGTGGCCCGGGTCAGGCATCGCAGCCCGAAGGCGGTGCGGAGCTGGGGTGGCAGCAGGTCGTGGGCAGCTCTGGGCTCTGTGCCACGGGACTTCCTCCTCCTCCAGCATCTCCCGTCCTGATAAAAACAGCGGGCCCTCAAATTTCCACGGAAACATCTCAGCAAATCCTCAGGGTAACCGCGTCTGCCCCAAGTTCACCCTCTCTAGGAGACAACCCTGGACTTGGATTTAAGGCTCCTAAAATCCTGCTCCGCCCTCCCACGCCGGTGGGTGTTCTGACACAGTTCGGCAGTCAGTGGTCAGGCGGCACTGCCTTTGTCTCAGTGATGACAAGGGGCAGGAGGCCCGTGGCTCAGCAGGCACTCACTGACCTTCCACAAAGTACACGTCTTTGAATGGAGCACCGCGGGAGACCAGGCTGAGGCCTGGCAGGCAAGCTGCGTCACCCTGGTGAGGGACTTTCCTGCTTGCTACTTGCCTGTCTTCCTTGGGTGGCCAGATCAGTTACAGAAAGCCCACTGAAGTCTGAATTGCAGAAACACAATAACACAGTCTTAAAAAAAAAAAAAAACTTTAAGGATAGCCCATACTTGGAATATACTTAATGGTTGATCTTGTGGAATTGAGCTCCCCCACAACCGTGTCTTGGCCAGCAGTTGAGGATGGCCAATAGTTGGGTTCCTGAACCCACGTGGGAGACCGGGATGAAGACTCCCCCCTACCTTCATCCGGGGTCTGACTTTGGCCTGGCCTGTTCCTGTTCTTTGGCCTCTCCCTCTTTGGAGCTCTGCCTTTCAAATAAATACATCTGAAAAACAAATCAATCAGAAGTTGTCTCTGGTGAGATAATCTCACTAGAGATGCGTGTTGGGAATGTTCGGGAAAGCTTGCTGTTAACACCAGAACTGCCGTTCTAAGTGACTGACCAAGGCTGGAAATAAAACATTTCCTGTCTTTCTGGGGTCCTTGGAAAAGACCCAACAGCGTCTGCCCCAGGCTGTGTTCCACGTAGTGCAACGGACCCTCATACATCATGGGGAAGTCGAGTAACATCAGAGTCATTGGAACAGCAGTGTACCCAACCCCACTTCTCCACCCCGGCTCCAGCACACAGCTGGGAGGCAGTGAGCCTGTGGAGTCTGGGAAATGGGTGAGTCTAATAAAAAGAAGGCAGCAGGCAGTACTTTAATCCACCGCTTACCGTGTGTCCACTGCATGGGCATCGCCAACTGAGGAGGCCTAGTCCCTATACATGCACCACAAAAGTTGGCCCACACATCTTATGATTTTCCCTGTGGCTAGGATCTGAGGCCAGCAGCCTAGTTGGGGAGTCCCCCAGGAAACCTGCCTCGAGTGACCTCAGACTTGACTATTGTGTGTGGCAGCAAGTGCAGGGTCAGGTTCAATCTGTCACCTACATGAGCCAACACACGTGTCAGTGGATGAAGCTTGGTCCTGCTCCCAGCCCCCAATCTCACACAAACTGACAGGTGCCATGGCCGGGCTCAGCCAGCCCACCACAAACTTGGTCCTCACCCATACAGTGAGTGCCACGGCCTAGTTGAAGTGACCCTTAAAAACACCCCCTCCAGGCTTGTCCCCTGCTTGGTTTTTGCACGTGCCAGTCTCTGCTGCACCTAGCCCAGCCCAGACTGTATCGCATCTGGTTCTCGTACATACCCACGGGTGCTGTGGCTTAGTTCAGCCCACCCTGCCCCTATGCATGGCCTTCGCACATGATGACAAGTGCTGCTGCCTTGTCCAGCCTGGCCCATCCTCAGCCCTTGTTCTTGTGCTCACCAGCAATAAGCACAGCCTGGCAGGAGAATGCCCACAATTCCCCTACCAGGCATGTTCCCAGCCCTGGATCTTGTGCCTGCCAGGGGATATTATAGCCAGGAGATAGTACTCCAGCTCGGCATGACTTGCATCCAGTTCTGGCATTTGCCAGCTGGTTCTCGTGCATGTAGTGGGTGCAACAGCCTAATCCAGCCTGCCCCTAGACCTGCTCTAGTTCTGCCCATCCCGAGTTCCAGCTTTCACACTCATTGTGGAAGCAGTGGCCCAGCAAGGGAGTTCCTGTTCCCCTACCAGGTCTATTCTCAGCCTCAGGTCTTGTGTGTTCTGACAGGTGCTGCAGCCCAGTCTGAGATGGCCCACTTCCAGCCGTGGCATTTACTGGCAGGTGCTACAGCCTGGCTCAGCCTGATTCATTCTCAGCCTTCATGTTAACCGACATGTTGCGGTCCATTCTGGCCTAGCTTACACCCTGTCCTGGCTCTCGTTCTTGCTGCAACCTAGCTCAGCCTGGTCTACCCCCAGACCCAGCTCTTGTATGACCCAGTAGGTTTCACAGCCTAGACTGGTCTGTCCCATACCTATTTTGGCTGTTGTGAGCGCCAGCAGGTGCTGAAACCCCCACTTAGTTTGGCCTGTCCCAGATCAGCCCACATGCATGCCAGTGGGTGCTGCAGCCTTGCCCAACCTGGTGTATTTGCAACCCCAGCTCTCATACTCACCAGTGGGATCTGCAGCCCACCAGGGGGTTCTCAGAGTTCCCCCTACCAGGTTTGTTCCCAGCCCTGGGTCTTGTGTACGCTGGCAGGTCCTTCTACCCAGGTTGGCATGACCCACCAATAGTCTCATCTCTCACTGGCAGGTGTTGCAGCCTAACCCAGCCGGGCACGGCCCAAACCCAGTCCTGGTTCTAATGTGTGCCAGTGGGTGCTAAGGTCTGGCCCCACCTGGCCTGTCCCCAGATCTAGCCCACACAAAAGCTGAGGAGTGCTGCAGCCTTGCCTGGGCTGGCCCTGGGCGGCTTCCAGCCTTGCCCCCAGTGCTCCCCAGAGGAAGTTGGGGAACAGTAGGGAAGTTCCCAAGTTCCCCCACCAGGCCTGCTCCCCGTCCTGGATCCCATGCAAACCAGCAAGGAGCAGCTTCCCTGCTTGCCACAGTCACCTTCAGACCAACCTCAGTCCACCCCTTGCATGAGAGGTTCCTCCCTAAGGTCCCAGTCTAATCCAATCTCTCCACACCTTCAAACATCCTAACTGGATTATATTTTCTTTCATTTAGTACTATGCACCTAAACCTTTGGGTACCAGATATTTAGCACATGGATTCTTTAAAAAAGAATTATTTATTTTTATTAAAAGGTGGATATACAGAAAGGAGGAGAGACAGAGAGAAAGATCTTCCACCCGATGATTCACTCCCCAAGTGACCACAACGGCCAGAGCTATGCTGATACGAAGCCAGGAGGAGCCAGGAGTTCTTCTGGGTCTCCCACACAGGTGCAGTGTCCCAAGGCTTTGGACCATCCTCGACTGCTTTCCCAGGCCATAGGCAGGGAGCTGGATGGGAAGCAGGGCCGCTGGGATTAGAGCCGGAGTCCATATGGGATCCTGGGCATGCAAGGTGAGGACTTTAACCATTAGGCTATCATGCCAGGCCCAACACATGGATTTTTAAAAGCAGATTTAAAAATATTTATGTACTTTTGTTGGAAAGTCAAATATACAGAGAAGAATAAACAGAAAGATCTTCCATCTGCTGGTTCACTTTCTAAGTGGACACAACGGCCAGAACTGAGCCAATCTGAAGCCAGGAGCCAGGAACTTGTCCTGGGTCTCCCACATGGCTACAGGGTCCCAAGGCTTTGGGCCATCCTTGACTGCTTTCCCACACCATAAACAGGGAGCTGGATGGGAAGTGGAGCAGTTGGGACTAAAACCGGTGTGCATATGGGATCCTGGTGTGTGTAAGGTGAGCATAAACTAGCTGTGAATGCAGTGAGCAAGTTTGCCTATTGAAGCAAGTGTGTTTAGAAGCCTGCTTAGACCTTGGGTTTCATTTTCTGTTAGGAGATGTAACCCCAAATGAATTCACACTGGCTGTCTAAATTCTTTATTTCAGTCACAAAGAAACCACAGTGAGATGTAATTTGTAAATAATTGTGTAAAAATAAAAGTGGGGAAAATCAAGATGACAGAATAGGGTAAGGACACATTTAAACAAAGAAAAATTAGCCAGTGTGAAGCAGAGAGGACACATTCCAGGAAATAGGAGAGGACAGAATGACAGCAGAGGGGCACCTGGAGCCTGACAGACACAGGGAAGCAGAGAAAACAACGGTGTGCTGTTGCAGACTGACACTCCAGCGGCATTCAGCTAACGGTGATCTGAACTCCACCAGCAGCCAGAACTCCACCAACAACCAGGTGGGAAGGGACTTTCACCGGGAACTCAGGAGGTGAACCCAGACAAAGAACCGTCCATCCTGCTGTTCTGTATGATTTGACCAGGAGCAGAGACAGAGCAGCAGGTCCCAGAAGGGCAGTGAGGGTACAGGGTGGATTTCATAGCCCAGTCATCCCCCTA